GGTTCAGCACACAATGTATGCTTCTGTTAGCAAATATCTAAGACTAATCTGGATCATATCAATCCCTTACACAGATAACTGCAAAAGTAGCGTCCCGTTTGATATCTGAAAGCTTGGAATTTTTCCCTTTGCAAGCTTTTATCCTTGAAAAGCAAATCAGAACAAGGCTACATAAACCTCGAAACCAAAACGCATATGCCACACACTGACTGCTGTGCTGACCACCTTCTCTAGCAACTCAGTCAGTTCACTTTCAGCAACTATGCAACTACTGAAATGGCTATCCTTTTTTCAGGGAAAGATAAGTTAACTCTATTACACGGAGCCCTGCCGTATGAAACCTGATGAACTGCCAAGAGAAAAAATCGGCATTCTGCACAAGCCAACCTGTGTAAGACCCCAAAAGCTTCCAAGGATATTTATTTTAAAAGAATTTTGCATGCTCCTAAGAAGTGGGAGAGGGGCACATAGTGGAATAGCTCCTGCTTTCCTCTATCTCCTCTTTGTGTATTTACCTTGTTTTTTCAGATTATGGGTGCTTCCAGAAAGGGAAAATATTTATGTATTTGAAACTAACTCTGCAGGAAGTAGATCCTAATAAGGACTTTATGGATGTTGCCATGTTATATAACTGTATGAAAATGAACAATAAAAAGAAGAGGAAGAATCTGGGGTAGAATACTGTTATACTGTTAAACAAACATCCTTCCTAGAGTTCTTTGATCACTTTACATAGTCATATTATTTAGAGATCAAAATAATTACTTCATGTGTAAAGGACAAAACACTTATTTCTTTCATATTAAAAATAATATATAAGTAAATATACAGCAGCAAGAAAAAGTGTCTTGAATCAATTTATTTTACCTTATCTGCTGTTATCTCTGGAAGCGACTCCTCAATTCCAAGTTCTCGCCTCCTTTCTGCTCGAACTTCGGCATAGCTAGAACAGCAAACCACATAAGAGTGCTATATCCTTGGATTAATTCAAAAATATACCTCAAAAAACAAATTGCTCAGATGCACCTTGCTTACAGGGTATCTCAGGAAGTTTTGTAATGATTCTTTGTACTGCCATGATTTCCCTCCCTTTCTCCGAACAAAAAAACACAACCCCACACACAAAAAACCCAGCAATATAGTTCCCATGGCATCAGAATTCCTCTAATTAGAAAATTTCTCCAGATTATAAAAATAAATTACCTTACAACAGTGTGCGTACAGACAATAAACTCAGGCCGGGAATTCCACTGGTGATACGTGATATAGTAATGTGTTTGTAGCCAAATCCATTGCTGTCCCTTTGTAAGGAATCTATAATAACATGACTTCCCTTTCCCATATTGCATTACTAAAAAGTAAAGAATAAAGTTCACTGTCTTTCTAGTCAGTAAGTATTACAATAACATAATTAATATTATTTCTCAAATTCACATGCCTCAAATCTATGTCCAATCTGATACTGGGACAACGACAAAAAAGGGTTAGGAAAGTAGTTTTCTACAAAAAAAAAAAATATATATATACATATATATATTGCGTAGCATTTGTCAGAGAACTGCAGAATTCAGACTTTCATTTTTGTGCGTTTTTCTATGCTGTAAAGAATTTATACGCAAAAAAAATTAAACACAGCTTTACTTTATAAAGAAAATCATAGTTAAATAATAATTTTATTCTGTTACACGCTCAGGCACAATTCTTGTATTTATTAAATACCACAGAACCTTTTAAATGCTTTTAGAAGAGTTGGAGAAGGATTAGTCAAAGTTCTGAAGTTTCTCTTGCAACTGGAAAATAACACTGAACTGTTTCTGTAACTAAGAGGACCTGGACAATGAATAAAAGGAGGCAAAGAAAAGGTGACAGGAAGATGATGGGAGATGAACGGTGAAAGGAGCGCACTGAAAGACTGGGATGGGAGAAGAGAAAAATACTGAGAAAAAAACAGAAACCTGAAAAGATGTTAGATTAAGAAAGAATAACTAAGTTATAAAAATGAAACTACAGAATAAAATGTTTTCGCAATTTATTTAAATAAGATTCATCTCAATTGTGCACTCCAATTCATCAAAATTAAGCATTTAAATTACAAGAAAAAGTTAAATCTTGTAGTTGTGTATTAAAAAAACATCAAGGCCAGACTACTATAATGTCAAATGAATGGGAGTGAGGGCACTTTACTGTGAAATATATCGTAACATTTCACTGTAACAGCAGCACAATTTAACAACCTTATAACTGAACATCTATAACACAAGTATGTTTTTCTAGTAACTTAATTTTACTTACAATGCTCGTGACATTTTGCCAGATTATCTAGATCATCCACATGATAATAATCATAGCCTGATGTTCCCAAAACTTCAAATGGAAGATAGCCTATTATTGGAGGTGCCCTAATTAATACAAAAATTAATGTCATTTTATTTTCACACACACAAAAATCAAAAACAGTTTCATTATATAAGTTCTTGTGTACAGTATGAGCTCTGAAAAAAATTAAAAATTAAACCCAGCACAAGCCATGAGCAGTTAATGCTGATTAGTGAACTCTAAATATTACAGCCATTGCTATGATTCAGCTACTATTGCTGCTATACATAGAAGGAATTGCACCTGTGATCCAAGAATAGGAACTTCCATTCTAAGCTATGTCTAGATGTGAACTCTTCATTGGGTTCTTCAACAGTGCACATTTCCTAAAAAGTAAAAAAAATAAAAATCTCTCTCAAAACTGCTCTATTCTAATTCATAAGCTCTTTTGAAATTCAGACTTACCTAAAGTTAGTAGATAACTCCATAATATTTATGATGTTATTGTTAGAGAGCTTCATTGTTTTTGCATGTTTAGATATATAATACTGAGGTAGAATCTAATCTCAGCCCTGCCAGGCTGACACTGGGTTGATTTAAATGGAACAACCCTGGTGTGAGCTCAAACGGAAGCTCAGCATCTACAGCACTGGAGTACAAGCAGAAATCAATAGTTCTTGCAGTTATGCTTTCACTTGCAACAAGCAAAAGCCAAAACAAAACACTCCCAACCAGACACTATGATTGAAGTGGTAGATACTTGTAATGCATAAAAAGCAACATTAGCAAGATGGTCATGTTGTTCTGACATTAGGAATAGGATTCTTCTTTCTAATGAACAGAGAGTAGTCTTTGGCTTTAGAGAACAAACACATGCTATAAACAACATACCACTCCTACTTTCGTAACTCATGAACAGTCAGAGAACCGTTGTATGTCCACTATAAAAACAGATCCACAGGGTATTCTGTACATTGTTTTAAGTGTATTGCACTCATTGGTATATGTGCTACTAGTGCACGTCAGTCAATTTCTGTTGGGCCCTTTCAGAGAGGTAAGGACGCCCTACTGAATACTGTGCCTTGCTGAGAGAGTAATGGAGCAACCTGCTCCAGCCTGTCCGCTCTCTTGCGCCAAACTCCTCCTGACTGCATTCCAAGAAGAAAGGTGGGCTACGTAACACACTCATATCTACAAATACAGCCCTCAAACTAACACAGGTACACTAGAGATCAGTCAGTCTTTCTTTTTTGGATGCCTGTACATGTTTATCGCACTTCCAGGAGCTTGCAAGGGTATTCCTATTGGCAGGAACATCGCAGAGTTTATTAATAATCGGTACCATACCAGTTTCCTAAAGATTGCGTAAGATATGGAAGCTGCTGCTGTGCTGACATAATACTCATAAGAGATGTGGAAGGACAGCCACACTGTTGCTCTGCAAATATCTATAATTGACATAGTTCTGAGGAAAGACGCATTAAAAGACTAAGGAACTGTTACTTCCTACGAAAAAATGTTCTGTTTTGAAATAAATATGAAGAGACTACCCTCCTTTTCATTCTTCCAGGCTACAATACAAAGTGTTTAAATAGTTATTTATCAGTTCTTTAAATAGGTATTTTGAAGTTCTATGGTTACCAAAAAAAGAAAAGGGAGGGAGGGAGGACATATTCAGTTAATGTTTTTTCCTCACCTTTGTTGGCATGAAATTTAAAGACCACGATTACAAAGAGGGTTATCTGATGGAGGGAATGTACAAAATCACTCCGGGCACAAAGTCGTGACTCTTGGCATGACTTCCAGTTAGCAAGACAACTTGTAAACTGAAACTGCACTCGTAGCCTGAGGCTCCCCTACTTTCCTAAGATTACACCATTTAATAAAGCACTGCCAACAGCAAAGTAGAAAAAAGGACAGACAGCAAGTGGGTATCCTTCGAACGTACTTCTGATTTGGTTTTCTTTCAACCTAATTATTTTGGCACAAGTCAAAACAAAAGTAAAAATACCTGAAGTGTGGGCACTAAAAACACAGTAAAAATTACCGTGACAGAAGACAGAGCAGCAGGTTAGCATCCAATTATCCTACCACTTCTATTAATGACTCACAGGTATTCCACTGTAAAATGCCCCTGGGCAGAAGCTATCTTGTTCAGCAAGACATCTAGAAGCTGTCAACAAGACATCTAGAAAAAAAAAGGAACTTTAACTTTTAACAGAAAGGTGTTCCATCTACACCGGATTATTCTTGCCTTCTTGACAGGATTTAATCCTTTACCAGCCAAGTTGTGAGATAAAGGGTTTAAAGAATGTGTAAGGCCAAATTCCGCCACATGGAAGGTATCAGAGAAATAGTCCCTAAGCAAAACTTGTGACACATTTTGTTACAGGAAGATCAGTGCTGGGGTCGTATGCAGAAAATACATCTCAGTGTAATCTTTCAGAGATCACTTTCATTCTCACGAATACTATGGCTGTTTGCAAAAGCACCGTACGTCCTCGCGAGGAGAGATTCTAGGTATAACGTTCTGTAACTGCAAGCCACCTGAAATACAGGGAAAGGGTGGCAGACGAGCAGGCAAGCTCCACCTGAAATGAGGCAATCCAGTACTAAAACGCATACCTTATTGCCAGCTACTTCAATCACAGGTCTGTTAGTAAAGATACCGAGATGGTAAAGTTCCTGACATAACACTGCTTGCTAGAGTCTAGTCAATACTAGTCTCAACAATACCAGAAGGTATCAACAAAGTCCGAAGCAAACAGATTGTCAGATTAAAAATCTTCACTCTAATTTTGGTCCAGAAGAGTCACAAGATTTCTCAGAGGAACAACATTAATTGAAACCCTTAAGAGGGTCTTAAAACCTCTTTAACAAAACTTATTTTTAATGAACTCTTCAGAAGTTCAGGTAAAGAGGAATGAAACTTTGGCCAGAATATAATCTGTAAGGCTTTGGCCTTCAACAGTGAGACACACCTGAAAGAATCTAAACGGATGTTCTTCACCTTCCCAAAGTCCTGTTCCACAGGTAGGATATACAAAAGGTTTCCTATAATAAATCTTAAACTGTGAGACTTTTGAGATATTAAAAAAAACCTCAAAAATATTTGCAAATACTGCAGTCTTTTTCAGAAGCTCTTCATGAAGCAGAAATCACACATCTAACATCTCTGTCAACTGTAGGCATAACAGGAAGAGCACTATTTAGACCCACAGACTTCTGCATTGAAAGGAAAACGTCAAATGAAAGTTCCCATGGCTCCAGGAAAAAAAAACAACAAATTCTCTCCGCCTGCTGTATGGAAAGATCCAGTTCCTACATTCAGCATGACAGAACTGAGGACGTTTATATGGTTTCCCCGCAGGATCCCTACTATGCTTTCAAAGTACAAGGTACATGTATAATGCCTTCAGAGGCTACCACCAAAAATCTATCCTATATGCAGAATATACAAATGTTCAAAGAGTTCCGCGTGACGGACAACAGGTTAACCACGTGCCATACACATTTCGTGACGTTTCTTTACGACTGAATTGTAACAGCAAACGTTAAATACTAGACTATCTGTACCTGGATTGATATATTCATATATATACATATATATATTTATATAGACGGACTTTGGTGAGGAACACTTGGTAAAGTCTATAAATCTCATACGCATGCAGTTCTAAACTTGGAAGGTCATCTTCATTGTGCAGTAGCAGCTAAGCAAAATGTTCTCTTTAACAACTGAATTATTGAACAACAAACAGGACTGAAGCAAAAAGAGAGAGCTTTACTACCTCAAATCGGACTCTAAGTGACAAATAATGCAAGCTTTTATTAAGACCTACAAGATTTGATTCTGTGTCAAACTACAGCAAGACCGTCAGCAGCATAAAATTCATATCCAAGTTTCAACTAAAATTATTAATTTTTCCTGTGAAAGTGGAAACTCAATGTTATCTTTGTGTCCGAGTTGCTAAGCTATATTCCTATGACCTTCATTTAAACACACTTTTTGAATATTACTATTTTGTATGATTGTTTAGAAAAGGTGCTCAGCATAAGCAACTTCTTTTGATGCTTTGCATAACATTTAACCTATCCATTTGTGAAGCAAGAAACAAAGATACATCCAGTTTCAGAAAATGAAATTCCTAACAGTTTTCATTAATAATATTTCAAGTGTTACATTTGTTCGCCCTGAGAGCTTCCCAACCGGAGTATATTTAAAAGTCACTCTGTCAAGAAGAGCTGTTTTTTATATCACATACGAACATAAGGGTCAAGGAAGTGATTCCATTTGCACATACCTTGATAAACTGAGGTGTAGCTAATCTAACAGTGGCTATGAAGCAAACTTTGTCTTCATACGAAGGCCGATGTGATCGCTGAATAGTTCCTTCAAAACCGTTGTGAGCTGAGTTGGGAACTGAGGGAAGACAGAGAAGAGGTCAAGAAAAATTACAAAATAAGCATGGAGGAACGTGGCAGTAATATCTCAAGATAAATGGCCCAATATCGGGCATTGCATCTAACACAGTTTTCCTGTAATTTATCATGCATTAGAAAAAATGCTATGGGTAGCATATATGCATACATACATAGTAATAGCAGTAGCAGAGTAGTAATGAGGACATAACCACCAGGGAACCTTCTCTAAGTAAGCTAAAGTTACACTTAACATGAACTAAAGTTACAGTCAACACAACAGTTTTGAGAAATTAATAACTGTAATCCTTCTCAGTAACTACTAAAAATAACTGAAACACACCTTCCTCAAAAATATCTTTAAAATTTTCCTTTTAAATCAGCTTTTGCTAACTTTTTCTTTTGAACTCTGGCGTAAGTATTTCTTTTCTAGGCTTTCATCATATTCCAATAACAAGAGCTGAAGACAAAACCAAGCAACAGAACAACTGAAGGCACAATTACATCTGTGAAAGAATCAGGACATCAGGTGGAGAACAAACAAATCCCACCTAGTGAATCACAGGGCTGGAAGGAATCACAGGGGCAAAAAGCAGGGACTAGAGCTCAGACCAGATCAACTGTACCTTTAGTTCCCAGCGGATATCCATTCTGTACATCTTTAAGAAGCTCTAAGGATGAGGACACCAAAATTCTCTCAGGCTCTTCAAAGTCTAACTGGCTCTGAATTAGAACTTCTATCATATAAACTGAAGTTTCTTTATGCAATTTAAGCTTACAGCTCCTCCTTGCTCTTTCCAACAGCAGAAAAAAGCAGTAATTTCCTTTCTCTGTTCATCCCTTCTCATTCCTCTGTTCTTCAGACCGTCTCTTACCTTGTAAGTTACATTTTTCAAATTTCTGACTGCTTTCATTGCTTCTCCAACTGCCTTACTTCTTCCTGATGTACAGTGTCCAAAATTGTGTCCCAGATGAGGACACACTGGTGCTAAGGAGTGCCAGAAGAATTACTTCACATGTCTTAGAGCACATTTTAGAAAGGATTTTTTTCATTTTCATAACTATTTGGCGAGTACTGGTTACTCATCTTCAGCTTGCATTCCACAGTAACTCCTTTTTCTAAAAAAACTGCTACCTAGCTGATGGCAAGATTTTTTTTTCCTTATTTGTAGACCTGGTTTTTCCTAAATGCAGTTCTTGCATTTGTTCTTTCTCAATAGCTCTATTTCTATTTGCCCCCAAAACAATTTATTCTCTAAAGTTCAGGTTGGAAACTCATTACGTTCTTTAGCATTCTTGCAGCTTCTTGCATCATGGCATGATCTGTGAACTACGTTCAATTATTTGAGCATGAATGAAAATACTGATTAAAACCAGATGCAGAAGAGGTCCATAAAAACTCCATTTTGACAGTGAATACGGGTAACTTTTCCAATCAGTTCTGCAGCTACTCTCTAGTAATTTCAATTAACATGTGCTTCCCTTACATGCTTGTGAAATTGCAGTATATTTGTCAAAAGCTTTATTGAAGTTCACCATTTCCCTGCGCTTTCTCCTCTTAGTCACACTGCATGTTACCTTTTGGTACAGAGAAGTGAATTAATTTGATAGTATTTGCACCTGAAAAATCCACAATGGCTCTTATTCAACTCCTCATTAGCTTCCTGAAGCTTATATACAGTTTAATTATTCATTCTGGAATATTTCCAGATACTGAACTACAACTGTCAAGCCTCTAATTTCCAAACGTCTCCTCTTTCCCAAACTGGTACCACGTTTGGCCTTTTGGATCCTGTTGCTTTCTATACTTCCTACAGTACTAGATATTTGTATTTGGCACCACTACTCAACCCCTCCCCATTCTGTGGAAAAGAAAAAGATGTCATATGGAAAAAACGGAGGTCTATTTACCAGATACTGTCTTTCACGATATTTTAGGGAGTGATCTATAAGAAGGGCGATTATTAATCACATTACACAGCCCATTTGTCTGGCTGATCAAATAAGCATGCCTCTCAAGTAACTAGTCAGCCGAGGCTGGCCAAACAAATTAGAGAAATTACAATACCAAGGTGGAAATAATGCATACAAATAACTTCAGTGGAAGGGAGAAGGAACTAACTGTGGAAAAGTGAAACTCTATAATGGCCCTCCTACTCATCTCAGTAGTAATTCCTACCACTCAGAGCACAGAATTGAAGTGGGGGACGGGGCGGGGGGGGAACCTAATTCACTGCAAGAACGATGAGAACTGCAGGCATTCAGTACACCACTGATCCGCAAGTTATAGCCACATGCTTAAACATACTTACCTAAACTCAGGCTCCCAACTTTAAAGCGTTGGCTTTAATTTCTTTTACCTAAACTCAGGCTCCCAACTTTAAAGCGTTGGCTTTAATTTCTCTTATGCTCTCTTTAAAACGTTTCACAAGATACTAATTTTCTTTAATTGAAAGCATTAAACACAATTACTACATTTTGCATTCAAAGGTGCAGACGTATAACGTCTGATACGCAGTTTTTCCTTCTTTTTCATTAGAAGGACATACAAGTGATATCACCCTGTTTCAGGTTCTTTCTTTGAAAGACAGATTTCAGTATTTCATTAAGTTTGCACAATGGTCCCACGTCTGCTTAGCTCTGAAGTTGCCCATGTATATCACTTTAATGTGGCCGAAATTACTTACCGTTATTCAAACACTTGAAATTTCCTATAAATTTTACATATTCATATGTTGGTTGCTCTTTCGGATCTATCGTTCCTCGCAGCATATGGCAACAGAATTCTAGTTGATTTTTTGCTGAGAAAAGGATAAACAAAATAAAAAGGCTGCGTGCTTGACAAAGCACACAGGCAACATGAAATGGGAAGCAGTAACAATTAAGTTGTATATTTTACTGATTGCTCCAAATGGCTAGAGCCTCTACTTTTTACCAGCTTCGTATTAACTAACCCAAAAGAAAGGAGAATTCCTTTAGAATTTGTGCATGATGGGGCTGAACGCTAACGGTGCACAGAGCCGATGAGAACCAGAACTATTTTAAAAAAGGATCCCAGAAGCAGCTGCCCCAAACAAATTTACTGAAACACCCTTCAACACCCAGCAGCCCGATATCTTTATTTTCTTGCCAACTGCTAGAACTGTGTAAATAGATATATTAGATACGATGAATACAGACAAGAGGAATATTTCTAATATACATGAAACTCATGAAGTGAAATACAATACAGGATGAATATTTTACTCTTCAGAAAAAAAGAACACAAAATGTGCTTCCATTCAAGCCACATATTTCATTCTGTAGGCCTCACCCATTTATTTCTGCTTAAACAGTACTAGAAGAAAGAACTGATAATATGTGACACACAGCAGATTGCTTTTAGCACTACTACTTACATTTTAAGTACTCTGGTGTCAATGAATCACTTTCCAGCAGATGAGAAGACAATATTTTATAAATTTCTGAATGTTCCCCCTCTGGGATAAAATTAAATATACTCTGATCCACAAGATCAGACTGAAAGAAAAAGATGTAATAAATATTATAATTACGCAAGTCAATGTCACAGACCCTACTATTTTAATGCAAAAGAAAATCCACAGGTCAGATAAAGAGCTATAAAACATTACTGACTCAGCAAATCCACTGAGACAACACGTGAATATTCTGCAAGAAAACAAATCTCATTTTGATTTGTCTGAACGTTGACACTTGAACAATTTAGTAAATACTGTCTATGACCCAGCAGATACACATATACATTAAAGTATACCGGAGCTTGCATCAACCTCCACAGGACATAATAATTCCAAGTAAAGGAGCATATGAATCAGAAATTACAGTGTTGTTTTAGAGCATTTTAACCTGTCAGTGGTGTCCAGTACATTGAAAAAACATTCTGGAACAAAAAAACAGCCCACCCCCTATATTATATAGGTTACTATATTGCCAGTAATTACATACAATTAGAATTTATTTTAGGAATACATTTTATAATCAGTTCTGCAACTTTATACACAAAACTGGCAACAATACTGATGAATGCAAGGCAACTGAACAATTAATACATGCTTTTTATGTGCATAAATGCATTTGATTAAGTATCCAGAAAAGAATGATCATAGATGTATATTTAAAATATATCAAACATATTTAAAGGCAAAGGACAACTGTGCCTCAGATGTGGGTAATTTTTTTTATTTTTATTTTTTTATCACAACACTTGTGTATTTTTCAAAATTCTCAAGCTGATCATCATTCATACCTTAGGGGAGTTTTTGTTTGCAGAATCATTGCTCAAATATGTCACTCCAAGTTTTACAAAACACTCTCACCACAGTTAGACAACTAGCCTTTAATAACAATTTGTCCCTTTCCAAGAAAATATCTCAGTGTTCCATTCATCCAGTGCTCGCGTTTTAGAGTACTCATTTGCCTCATTTCAGAATAACGTCATTTGAAAGTAACTAACAGACCAGAATGTTAAATATACCAGTAAGCAATGGCACCAAAATTAAGGATGAGTGAAATGTGATATAAAGTATAAGTCTAGCCTAAAAAAGCAGCATCAGCAACAGTACATACTGCTCTTCAGCAATTAATTTCTGACTCATATGGAGGGCAATACCAAGTGCGACCTCTAAAGAGTCTTTTAGTGCTCAGTTACTTCAGTTACACTGAAGAGAGATACTGACTCTAGTCTGGTACTTCATAATCCTTCACAGAGTGCTGACTGCACTCTCTGTTTCCAAAGGAAAAGTTAAATACAGGAGACAGACCAATAGCAAGGAACTGTCCTAAAGGAAAAGCAGAAGCTTTAGAACAAAACATACATCTGTGCTCTAATGCCAAAAAGACTGAAGATGACTGGTACTCATAGCAGAACATCACTTGTAGACAAATTGATATGTTACTGAAAGCAGTTCATACTTACTGGCAAATGTTCAAGTAAGGGAGTTACACTTTCAGACACATATATTATACTTCCATCTGTCATAATTGCTAAAAAAAAACCATCAAGAGCCTGAAATTAAACATAATGGGCAGTTAAATAAACAGGACATATGAAAAACGTTAAGCTATAGTCAACACGGAAAGAAATTTAGACCGACTCTTAGTTTATTATAAAAATGAGAATACCTTTCGCCATTAAAACTTCTGAGCCTTGTTTCTACACTATCAACATTATAATTTCCATTCTGTTCTGTTCTGAACTAACCTATGGTTTCAGAAGCAAGACTTCATGCACATCTAGCCACTGTTTCTCCCACGTCCCACTCTGCCCACTGTTTTTAGTTCCATTGCCATTTTAAGTATCAGAAAACACAGGAAAACAAGTTAGAAGCAAAAGCAAGAAGAGGAAGGAAAACTATGAGAAGGGAAGAACCAATTTCAATTGGTTCTGCCTCAGCAGTCCCATTCTCACTAAAAGAAACTTCTAGTAAGATTTCATTGAAATTTGAAAACTGTCAGATCCAGTTCTGAGTGCTTTATCTTCTACTAAAACCTGAAAATAACAGTCGCACACTACCAAACATAAAAGTGCGATAGAACCATATTTGTAAATGGTGTATTTTAAAGCTCATGTGTCTTTGGAAAAACATCTTAATCTTCTATTACTTTGTTCCGACTTAATAGTCGCTAACTATGGATGGTGTTTCTCAAGACCTTTTACAAAATCTGCAAAAACAGCTATAAAGCACACCTCCTACAACTGAAGCAACTACTTCACTAACTTGTTAGGGAGGGGAGAAAATGCACCAAAGAGGGGATTATTTTAAATACAGAAAATTGGAACTTTCCACTTTTTAAATATCTGCCTCTACGAACAGGTTCAACTCGGGAACGTCAATAAAGTGAGTTTCCATTTACTTTAATATTTTTCATTTAATTATTATTATAAATTGTTTTACTAATAAAGTACAAATCACTTGTTCTAATTTACAATGAACCAGCAGATAAAAACGGAAAGCTTATTTCTAATAGTAATCAAACAATTCATGTAATCTTCTTCAGCAAAGTAATACTCATATACACCTTTTTTGGAAAGTGTAACATGCAAAGAAATGAAACATTTTTTCGTTCAGAACAGTGGATGTACTGAATCATTTCTGCAGTTAAGATTTTAGTGTAAGCGTGACAATTTTTAATCTGACTTGTATTCTCCTTATAGAGATAATTTCAAATATCAATTTTACTTTGATGGTAAATACATACATGTTTGGACCGGCTCCATCACAATGTTTTATTTCATTGAAAATTCTCTTAAAAGAAAAATGCTATTACGTGTTACTCTGTATACATAGAAAATCAGGTTGCTCACCTCTGTGAAAGCATGCAATTACAATTAAAATATCAAAGTGAAAAGATATTCCATTAAACAAAGATTTCATCATGGAATCAATCCCTATGAGGAAATATTCTACTTCCAGAAAAACAGAAGTAACATACCTCTAACATTAACTGTGTGAACTCTTCATTACTAAGGAATGTCGGTTTCCAGTCCTGTCGAATTTCACTGGCATCTGATTGTGCAGTAATTTCTATAATCAAACACACATACAATATAAGGATTCACACTCCAAAAAGCCATTATTTTTCCCACTACTAAGTTACATACAAAAACGGTACGAAAAAGCAAAAGGTTGCCCAGTCTCCTCTGTTGTTTATTTATTAGATATAATGTTCCTTAAGGAGGAGATAAACATCCTCTCTACTATGTCATAATGACATTTGTCTTCCCGTTCCTTCTATCAGCTCGTGCTATGTTCTTACCAGATGCCAAGGTAATATTAAAGTTGATGACAATTTGAACAGCGCGGTAAGCAGTAGATTTTGTCAATGCAAAGAATACATTCTTCCCTCTGAGACTACAATAAAAAGTTTATGGAGTATTATTTTCAAAGATTTGTAAACAAAAATTCCTGATCCGTTTAGGTCAGTAAAACAAAGCCCCAGTATCTAGGGCAATGCTGGTCATTCTAACCTTTGTACTAAAAATTGTCACTGTCCTTCCTCTTCTTCCCACCCTTTTCCGTAATCTGTCAACAGTTACATCACGAAAGAAATTGAGAATAAGCAGAGAACTGCAAGAAGAAGAAAAAAGGACCAGCAAATACGAAGGGCCAGAACTGCCAATTATCAGATCTCACAAATGACATAACTCGATTACCGCTTTGCTATCTGCTTTGAAATGGTATCACAAAGCAGTAAGAGAGGGAGAAAATGAATATAATCTACGTATAACCCCAAACCTAAACTTTCAGTTGGAACAATTATATTGAACAATGAACGGGAAGTCAAAGGGCATAGAAATGAACAGCTCTGCCACCAGAGCAGAAGCAAAATTCAAGGAGCTTAATGCATTCAGTTCACAGGATGCAGATAATCTCTACTTCAGAACTGGAAGTCTGGTTCAGTGGCTCGTTCTGGTCCATGTAACAATCCTACTTTAGAATTAAAAGAATCAGTTTGGGTTCTACAGTAGAAAGGATTTACACTAAAGAAAAGCTGAAGTTTGTGTGTGTAAAGAATCATACCAAGTTATGTCACCAACAAGTACAAACATTCCTTTACACGTCCTGTAAGTCAGAGCATTTAGTAAGATACTGGAAAGCAGAGTGATAGTAACCTGGAAAGAATTTCTTTCACTCGGATAACTTTAGAGAAAGTCTTAAAAATTACAGCTGTATGTTGCATTCAGAGGTGAATGACACTGAGGTCACATCCTGAGCTAGATATAGAACATAAGAGCACAATTAAACTTGCACATTAAGAGCTTATCCAGCTTTCAAATCCAAGTATTCCACATCAGTACCGAGCATCCTCAATAAAAATTGCCGGTATGGGCAAGATCTGTAAGCATTTATCTGTAGTGTGTATGAATATGAATTAATCGGTTGTAATTATAAGCAGCTAGTTCCTCAGCTAAGCAGCTAGTTCCTCAGCTTCAGGTTTTTGTTTTTTTTTTTTTTTGGAAACACAAACATCTTGTATACAAATGCAAAGAAAGGTGAACAGGCAGTATTACCAAGTGAGAAGCTCAGTAATGTAATTTCAGTGTGCTTAGCCCGTTGGTTTTTTTACAATGAGAAACAGAACCTACACTTGCCCAATAAACAGCTCAGTTCATCTGGATCTGCTGCCCGTGTATGTGAAAATGGTTCAAAAAGAACCAGAAGCAACACAGTAAATCACAGCCTGGTTGCTGAACATAATAGGATATTCAACACTGAAGAAGCCAGTCATTACCAAACAATTCATTCACTCTGCTTTATTGTAACAGATCCAAGCACCTCAGGAGGCAAAGCAAGCTTTTGACCTTTGCCAAATTTTTGTCCACAGCGTTTTAATACAAAACACTGCAGAGCAGTATTAGTCACCACTGGCAGCCAGGGCTTTGGAGACCTTAATATGGAATACACAGGCACACAGAGCTGCACTCTGCCCCATCAGGTGAAGGACAAAAGCTCCAGGCCTTAAGGCATCCATCCCCAGAGCTGCTTGGAAGAAAGACAGGAAGACTAGTGCTGCTGGCTGGTATGCGTTCATCCTAATGAATACAAAATACAGCAATTTTGAAACAGAACAAACATTTTCAATTTACTGTATTTATGCGAAATTTTGGAAAAAGCCCTGGAACCTACAGACTGACTCACGTAGATGAAAGAGGCCTGGTATTACCTTTCTTCTCATAATGAGGCAAACACTCCACAAAGGATTAAAACAATACAATCAATATTTAATTGTTAAAAAGACAAAAAAAAAAAATCTACGAACTCTTGCACAAATTATTCTCCCTCCTCCAATTTAGTTATATTTACCCTTTTAAGAACCCTATTCAGGGAGCATCTGGTATGAGGATTGTGGTTAAAGAAGCACAAGAGCTGCACTAGGGTATGGAAAGATAAGTGTCATAACATATCTTATAAACTGATGAACATGCTGTTGATAATAGATATATATTTATAATAGCTTTCCTTATTTTATCACATAACCTAGTAGCTGCTTCTTTTGTCCCCATTGCTTTCTAGGTACTGTGTGCGCTCAGAAATTGGGGAAATGGGATAACTATAGAAAAAGCTCATTTTCTTGAGACAAAAAGGAATTTTTGATCTTGTTTTTTGGCAGTGTGAACCATAAGATGTCATATGAAGAACAAAAGCATAAGAGAAGGAATAGGGATTTTACGTGTACAGAAATATCAAACAGCCATAAGAAAGTGTAGGCTTAGCAGAAATATTATTTTTGGTAACTCAAATAACTATCTGTAATAAACAGTATGACACATCTGGGTATATCCCATTATCAATTAACGCAAGCAACCGGAGAAATAAAAACACAGGGGAGAGGTTCAGAGAAGTTCCTAAGCTTTGACATTTCACGTGGTGTGATTAAAAAAGAAACAAACAAACAAACACTACTCATTAGCTTATAGAAAATATTTATAGATTTTCTGTTGTGTTTCTTTCTAACGCCACAGCCAAAAGGAGAAAAGAGATGCCTACGCTTCGGGCGTGCAATTCCCACTGCACGCTACCCTCCTTTGTCAAACTACCTAGCCCAATAATTCTTGCTGGGGAGCACAATGCCCTGCAGCCTTCTCATCTCTGTTAAAGCAGCCAGTTGCGGAGACGCTAGGCAGAGGAGAGGGAACGTTAAGTTCTCCTGGACTAGCCTTTTCTGTGATTTAGCTTGCTTTCTATGAAACTTGGAGAGACAAACTGACTGTTCAAAAGACACTGTACTATCTAAATATCAGAATAAGCACTTCCAGCAAATATATCCACTGAAATGGCAAGCAGGTATTTCTTGTGAAGCAAAACTTTGAGAACTTGTGTCTTATGGAGCAACTGTATCCTCCAGGGTTCCAACTGTCCTGATCAAATAACTTCAAGACTATTTCAAAAATAAGAGTTACACATTTTGAAACAGACTTGTTTAAAAACTTAAAAAAAAAAAACTTTAAAAAATACAAACAAAAAAACCACACCATTGACTTTTGTGAAACATTTTCTAAAAAGTTTTCTCTGCTACCTAAATATCGATCTTAAAAATATCTTCCTTCAGGAACTCTTTACATTTTTTGATTATTTCCTGAAAGAGAGGAGTTTCAAAATTGTTAATGTTTCCCCGCACTAAGTGACTATCATAAAAATTAAGAATTTAAAAATTCTTTCTTGTTACAAAGAATTTACCTTTGTGCTTCCGTAAAAAGTCAATGCTCTTCTGCAGTACAGTGGATTTATCCATTTTCCGGGCATTACCTGGAAGCATGGAACCCAGTTCTTTGATAAGTACATTAAATTGATCTCTACGCTTCTTTTCAGACTTGTTTCTAGAAACTCTGAAAAAGAAAAGAGAAAATGTTTTATAACAACTATGACTCCTTCTTATAATAAGCTGCATACAACTGACAGGTTCCTGATGCAAACTGCCTTTAAGAATCTGCTTTTAAGAACTGTCACAAAAACACCTACTCTAAATCACAGTGACCATTTTTGCAGAACAGCCTCTTCGTTCTGAGAGGGTTGCATCTGAGCCTTTAGAATAAAGCATGCTTTAACAAAAATACAAATACAGTTATAAACACACAAGATACCTGAAGTATAACAGTAAAACCAGTGCTGATGAATAAGATGCTTATTTATTAAGAACTACATTTGTATTCTCTTTAGAAATTTCCCTAGTAAGCCTAGGTGTGTAAGTAGAGAGGATAGTTCTTTGCATTCGATAACTTTAAAACTTACCTTTTTGCTTTATCTTTGTCATCTTCTTCCACCAGCCCATCAAAAATGCTTCCATCATTCCTGAAAAAACAGAAAGAAATAACGTTAGAGTGTAAAATTTCTCTTTTGTAGAGGCAATCACAATGAGGGGGGGAAAAAAAAAAACAGAGAAAAGACATCATCTCCAATACATCCAGGAACAGAAACACTGGTTTTATTGTGATGTCTTGCAAGGACCATCACCAGCAACCAGAACCCAACCATGCTATAAGTTATGCACTGTAGGATGTTTAATGAATGGATAGCCAAAAAAAAAAAAAAAAAAACTTAGATTTTTTAAAGTACAGTAATTTCTGACACAACCCAAGCTATCTTCCAGATTGTGTATTTCTAATGAGAATTCACAATTCTATGCAAACACTTCAACAATTTTATTTTTTCATCTTCTTGATTATTTGCATTACCTTATCCTTTTGAAAGCACAAGAAAGGACATAAATAATTTACTATTTTCACTCATTTGCAGCTTCCATTACAATTTTTGAAAATATTTATAGAGGGAAAAAGTACATTTTTCTTAAATACTGAAGTACTCAGAATGGAAAGCTGAGGAAAATGCTATACTTCATCCAACTATGTAACTTTATAAATATACAATTCATGTTAAAACACTAATGATAATTACTCATTATATTTGATTCCTATCTAACTATCATAAAATTCTTCCTCAGCTTGACAACTGTCCTTCCCTGTATTGCTAAGAAGGTCTCAAAACATCAAAATGAGAATGTGTTTTTCCTTTCAAGATGCCTCAGTGTACTTCTTATATCACTTCTGTTTTATTTCCTTTTACTCCTTTTGTTAGGAAGTAATTATTTTGTATGTTATTACATAAACCTAAAGCTTTCAAAGGAATTCTTATACTCAAGAAACCTAAGTTGCAGTGAAATTCAACATAGCTGTATTAAAAAATGAGAAATCTGACAAGCATTTTAAAAGTTTCACCCGTCATTTTCCTTTATTGTTATATACTCAGAATAGGTTCGACCTTCTGCAAATTTGATGCAAGTTTAATGTTTCTGAACTATCCAAAATCATAATACAAACCATATTAAGGACAGAGGTTCACCTAAGCTGCTAAAAAGTCCAGGTCAAGGAATCAAATAGAAACCAAGTCTCCAGTTACTACTTTTCCATTGAAACAGATTATCAGGCCACTTCACTGCCATATGCAGCATCATTTAGAAGGTAAACATTTAGAATTATTTGTTTTCCCTAATCAAATATAAAAGTATTAAAAAAGTAAACTTTAGAAATTAACATGAATTAAACAGATGCTGTTCCATGGCTCAAAACAAGTAATACATTTTAAGATTCATCTCAAAGAAAAAGAATTACTTCTTCCAACGACTACAAAACAATACATCTAACTACTGCTATAGCAACTTTCTCAAAAGTAGCCCAAAACTCACTCCTCTTAGTTTTTACACGAATTACCGTTCTGTGTATACTAATCGTAAGAATAAAACTACTAACGAAAACATCTAATTCTTCCCCACTGTCTATTAACATACCTGTCTGCAATGGAGCTCATTTTATGGGTGCTTATGGTAAAGAACATAACATATCACACTTTAGTCTTGTGGTAGACATTTGTACGTTTGCCTGTGAGAGAAGAAAAAAATAAAAATATGACTTTGAAAGAACATGTTCTTCGTGAGAGCATATTAAAGTTTTCATTTGCTCAATAAGGTGCTCTTAACCTTCTCCTCTCTTCCAACCATCTCTTCTGCCCTCCCACCTTCTCTAATACAGAATCCATTACATTCACAATCTGAACTTTAATATTTCATTCTACCTGACTGAGAGTTTAAGAGAATATTGTTTTCATTATATGCCATGATGAATGAACTTGGACTAAGCCAGTACAAACCATTTTCTAGCTCTGAATGCAGATATAGCTTTCTTTCTTTTTTTTTTTTTTTTTAAACTCAGTATACTAAAGGATTCATATAATTTTGAAGGCTGAAGAGATATAAAAGTAACCTCCTCAGAAGTAACATACTTCACTTAGAAACTATGCAAACAGAAAACACTTGGGGAATAGTATTTTATAGGTATTATTTATTTTATACTGTATTTTTTTTCTTGAGCACATTAAGTTATGCTAGATACGTGAAAAAGCGACACTAAGATACTCACAAGAACGTGTTCTCTATACTCTGCTAATGTTATAGTTCAATTAGTCATTTCCTAAAGTAGCCACTTATTAATTATAAAATTTCAGTAGGAAGGCTTTGCTTGCTTATTTTTTTTGTCAGGGTACACATGATTTTGAAAAGAGGAATATGAATGAACTATTAACAGTAAGGAAGGGCATATAAACTTGAAATAAGTATCCCATTCAACAAGTACCTTCTTTCAGGTACCCCAAAATTACAAAACATTACAGTTTCTGAGGAGGAAGGATTTGTTTTGTTTCTGCAAGTGCCAAATCCAGGGGAACTCCCAGCGTTAATATCGTAAGAAATATGGCAGATGCTACCCAATGATCCAGACAGTCTGCAAAATGTTCCAAGAAAACCCTATCCCAGTTTTTGAATAGGCAGGGAAACTTAGGAAGAAAGCTTATGTTTGGATCAAACAAATGGCCTCAGGGTCTACAATAAGCCATACTGTATACAGATTGCTTCACAAGATTAGTATTTTTCCCACAAAGGTATTCACAGCTGAGTGCATCAGGAAAGCAAGTGGGAGAGCCACGCTACAGCACATTCTCTTTCAAGGTGCCTTAATGGGTATGTATGCTATTTTGAGTGTCCCAAAGAGCCTCATGAGCTCGCTTATCCTCTCTTCAATTAATAGGGCCAACAATGTTTTGCCTTTACCTCCAACATCTAGTGTCCTGAAGAGACAGTGAGAGTAAACTACTCCTTCACTCAGACAAGCTCTTCAGAATAACAACCGCTCTGTCCATCCCCACAAACTATATTCCCCAAATCAGTTGGCCAAGGATTATAAAGTAACAGAGTTGCGCTATTTGAGCATCTGCCAGAAGTCACAGGAGGAAAGGAAATTATGAAGATGCTTTTGTTCAAATTTTGGTCAAAAGCAATCAGCAACAGACATGCTACTCAATAGTTTAAAAAAAAAACCACACACACACACCCCCCATCATGGGCATGAAATTCAGGTCAAAACCAAGACACTGATTAGAAAGTTGTTTTCACTTAGCTTATACAATGTACTTGCTAATTACATTTTTAGCCCTACAGTAATTTTCAAAAAAATCTGGTACCTAACATTACAGGGATTAAGAGTAATACCAAATTCCACAAGACAAATGAGACAGTATTCCATTAATTTGCAAAAGAAAATAATATAAATAGCTAACTACAAAAACCTTTCAGCTGTGACATAAATGGCATTTTCATTATGCAGAATCAGAATTTAAGAGTCAGTATTTCCACTTTAGCAAAGCACTCCATTTCCAATCAATAAAAGAAATCAATAAAGAAATCAATAAAAGAAGAACTCAATAAAGAAATCAATAAGAAATCAATAAAATCATTCACATGTTATGGTATACAGAGCCTATGTCAGGACTGGCAACTTAAGATTTGGTATCCAAGACAGACAGTTAAAAGTACTTAAAAGACTACAGAAAAAGTCACTAGGAATCTGAAGTGTATGGTTTTTTCTCTTATTTCAGGGTCTGATCCTTCTCTCTTTGCATCCAAAAATGCAAGATGCTAAACATACTTCAGCTCTTACACAAGTCAGTGGATATGACTGAAGAAATAATTCGGATGAAATTAGTAAACTTTAAAGCAAACGCTACAGAAATCAAGGACTACACGTATTTCTCAGAATCAAGTGCATTTACATTGTGGAGAATAAAAAAAACACTGCTTCATCAGTGCTACTCAACCCTCAGTGCTGATGATAAAAACCGACAGGAATTTATTGGTAAAATATAATTTTACCTTTTACTCTTTGGGCTTGTTGAAGTGTGATGTTCAGGTATGAAACACGACCTCTTCAGAAGAATAATGCAGAGTCAAATGTATCCTCTTCTGCAGAAGAGCATTAAATTCTGAACGGTGAAAAATCAAAAAGGAGGGTTTAAGGTTTTTAAATCAACAGATCCAAAACACTTAATTATATTTAAAGGGAAGTAATCATTCCTATAAGAATAATTTATAAATACAATATTCTGCTTGAAATAAATATCCCAACTATGTCACTACCAGAACGCACCTTGCTCTAAAGTTCTTCACTGTGATAAGCAGAATATTCCGAAACAATTTCACTTCCGCTTTAAGCTCTCACTTTATAGCCATCTTAAATCTTGATGTCATGTTGACTTCTGAACTCAGTGTCTCCCACACCATCTAGATCTTCGGTTTCACTTGTTACCTTCAAAGTATTTCTTTACACTATTATTTAAACACCTTTTTTTTGCTGACATTCATGTACACGGGCCTTCACTGCCTTTTCCAGTTATGCCTTTTCCTCTCCAAGTCTCCAAAACTACTACTCTCAGGACTCCAGAACGTGTAGAAGGCTGCTGCTGGCAACTAGCAGAGCTGCCCAACTGCATTATTGGCTACTCCCTCAGACACAACTATTAAGTCCTTTCAAAACCCAGTTCAAAAACACCTAAAACTTGTACAAATTTCATTTTAAAGCACATTAAATCTTAAGATGTATGTTGGGCTCTAAAAACTAAGCTTATGCTACTCTTAAATTCACTAATGGACTTTACTGAAAACATCAGAATTGTTTCTTAAAAAAATAAAACATCTTTATTTGATTAGAAAAGTCAAGTTTCTCCTTTCCGTGCACTCAATGGAGGCTTTTAAATGGTTAAAATACTGATGAAAATATTAACATAGGAAGTTAAAAAGCAGAGCAGAATGATCTGCCAAAAAGAGAAAAACAATTACAGCATGATTCAATGAAGCCACTCATGCTTTTCTGGCCAAATAACCTGCTGGCCCATTGACCTACTTTTTTAGGTGCTTGCAGCCTCCTCTCCTATTTTGTTTTGTTCCATTTGACAAGTGCAAACATTAATAGTGACAGAGTGTCCCTTGGAAGTCTAGCTTACAGAGGCTGCAACCTGAAACCTGTGTTTTTAAACTGTTTGAGTGGAAGAACTCTGCCAACTTTCCCAGAGCTCATAACAGAGTTTTAATGAGGAAAATTTTAGACCTCATCTCTGCAGAATGTGGAGGTATTTTTTTTAAAACCACAATTAAATACGTAAGCTAAACAGCACAGAGCTTAAGCACAGAAGCATATTTGGTAATGTATAAAACAGAACCCAAAAAAAAGGGAAGTTAAAGGACATCTCAAAAGGGAATTTGAGATGAGAGGAGGAGAATATGTTTATGTCATAAATGAACATAAGCAAGCTTAACCCAGACTACAAAGAAACCTAATCACAGTGGAAAAGCTTTTGTAACCAAAACCACATAGATCTGTAAGTCAGTAGAAACGGCAGCCATGTGAAAGCTCGCAGAAAGGTCTAGACACCTACACAACACCAGCACTGTGAGCCACAAGTGTTCAAAAGGTCATGGGTCTCTCCCAAGTTCTTTTTTTTTTTTTTTTAGTACATATAACGAGCTATTCTGTTTTTAGTTGCTCAATCTTTTGTACACATTAAGTGAATGTTTTCAAACTTCTCTGCAATCAACAAGAATAGCAACTTACTATTTTTAAGAAAGCTGACTTCCTCAATCAAAAACTTCAGCAGCTGCCATGGATATACAAACTATTAATACACCGCATTGCTAAAATGCAGCAAAAACAAATAAAAAACAAAAGCCAGCAACACTGCAACTTTTGCATTATGCTGACTTATCACTCAGGGAGGCAGTAAGTCACTGGATGGCCAAAAAAGCAAGGCTCTGAGCAAAAGTCATACAGCAAGAGCCACAATCCAACCCAAGGTGAAAAGTTCACATCAGCTGTTAAAACTTCCATGTTTTAGACTGAAGGAATTTATAACTTCAACCAATTTTATCATACATATCGGTATGAATACTGGCAATGTTTTACCTGAGAAACAAATTCAAAGATTGAACAAACTGAAATTAAACTACAGTCTTGCTCACGACAGATGTTCTGTCAGGACTAGACTGATAAATGGACGAGGCAGTAGCGAACACATTGCCTCTCCTTCATTTTTTACAGTTAGCAACCAAAGGACTTATGTCTCTAATACTTGACTTTATCAGTAATATCACTAAATATTTTTGAGAAAGAATCTATATCGTCCTTATATTGTAAAAAGATTTATATACAAATATCTTGATTTTATAAGCAATCTTTTCAAGAACTTATGGCTTACAGCCTTTAGAGGGGGGCCCTGTATTATTAGGGCAAATAATTCTACCCAGGAAAAGATCACAGGAGAAAATACAAGAAACAATACAGTTTTCCAGCACTAGGTATATTTCTGCAAACAGAAGCAGATTAACATCCTTAATACAACCTGATCTCTGCGCCCTAATCTTATTTTGCTAGGGGGAACAACCTAGTGATTATAATCACTGAGGATTAGTTTGAGAGAAGATCTTGTTTAAAGAATCAAAATCACAGTGCAGCACCACAGCAGCCCGCATTTACACAGCACCTGATATCTGAGAGCAGCAAAACACCCTGACGCTACAGTCACGTGCCATGGTAAGCCAGCCAGCGAGCAGGGAAAAGCAGGAGAGGGGGAAAAAAAACCGCCCACAGAGTCAACGGCAGAGCCAGGAACAGGACCTGCCAGAGCAAGCCCAGCACCATATATCCCCTTCCCTTTTTTTTTTTTTTTTTAAAGAGCAAGAGCGAGGGGGGAGGGAAGAGAAGGGAAGTTTGCTTTGCTTCTGTTTCTCTCTGTTACGCACAGACTTAGAGAGAGACTGAGAAATCAGTAGACAAGTTAACCATAACCTGCTCTCTCATCAGATATTGCTTGGCCCTAATAGAACAAGCTGGCAGATTGCAAGGGAGATACTTGCTCTTTTAGCTTGCAATTGCGTACACACCAGCAGAAAGCAAATTAGGGTAATGACTGACTGATCCCTTCTCCTCACTAATCAAAGGTTACCTATGAAAATGTTATGATTTTAAAATTGACATAGCGCTCTTTCATTTGCTATCTCAAAATAACAAAAGCAACACAAAACAAACAGAAGATAGGGCTGAAAGGAATCTCAAGAAACGCCATCCAAACTTTGCAGATGAAAAGGTTATTCTGGCAGCAGGAAATAGCACTATATCGCAACCTTTTCCCTACCACGTGAACAAACTAACTATGAACGTCTGGCATTGCTGGTCTGTACTTTGGCAGAAGAGCTGAAACATCCCAGAAACGTTATTTACCGTACAAACATATGTTATACGGCAAACATACACCTTCACCTGCTCCACAGGAAACCAGGGTAGAAGAGGGCTCCTTCTACCACAAACATCCATGCAGCTTGCTCCCAGATGGCCTTTTAGTAGGGCAATCTGTGAGTGGACAAGGGGCAGACTGCTCCAGCAGAGCAGCTTGCTTAGGTCCACTACCTTTCCAGGGAGTAGGCAAGGACACACCTGTGTGCAATATGATGAAGAAAGGGCAGTGGGACAGACGACTGGTGGTGTGGGCTGCCACTATCATAATAAATCATCCGGTCTTAAGTCTGCTTCTGAGGGACTTTCAGGAAAGAGAACCACTCTGAGCAGTCTATAGGTGAAACATACTGCCTGCTGCCTGGCAGGTGGCATATTGTGGTAAGGGTCACAGATTTAGTTCCAGTATAGTGGAACTAAAAGGGAAGTGCTTATTATTTCCACTACATAATTCCAACAAACAGCAGTAGTTGGAAGAGCCTACAAATCATAATTGGAGAGGACAATGTGATAAATGCAGGGGGAAAACAAAACAAAAACAGATTTGTAAGTTCTTTACAAATGGTTTGTCAGAGCAGACTCTGTAACTTGGACTGAGGACTGGATACGGTTTGCAATTTCAGTCTCTCCAGCTCGTGATTAGAGGAACACTGCTGTGTGGTACTCCTCCTCTGTTCCAGACCGTTTGGGCTAACCTCTGTTTGGCCAGCAGCTCTGCGCCACCCTCCCACTCTTCTTTGGAGTCTGCATCTCCTTCCCCTTTCCCACCAGGGAGATGGGACTCTCAGCACCCAGAGCACACTCCCTTTCCCCCCCGAGGAGTTTAGCTGCTTGTGCTCAAGGCCAGCTCTCCGATATGGTGCCGCTCTCTAATCTTGGTTCAGACTGTTGTGAAGAAAGAGCTGTGAGAGAAAGAGCCGTAAGAAGCCTCAGCAGAGGCTCCCCCCCTCCACTTGAGACATGCATCTGAACAGGGGCTCTTGCCCTGGGCCTTCATCTGAGCGGTGCTGCAGTAGGCCCATGCCAGCCTATGTACCCCACTGATCTGGCCCCTCACCCCAACTTGTTGCTGACTTCCCGGCTTGCCCTTGGACCTGCCTCCTGCCAGGGACTTGCCCGACGAGCTGGACTCTCGCCCTTCCCTGGGGAGCAGCCTGCCCTTCAGCTCCCTGACCGCGACTGCGAGAGAGCTTTGTGGCTTGCCAGGCCCCTACGGGAGTCACTGACAGCCGGGTACTGATGGCCTTTTTGGCACTCAAGTGCATCTCTCTCTTTTCTCCTCCCATCTCTTTCCATGCTGCCTATACGATCTTTGCCTCCTAGGGCTTTAATTAACCAAACAGT